TGTTTAGTTTTGGCCACTAGAGGGCGCTACAGTGCTCTAAAGACAGATTTATTACTGAATGATGTAATTATCCTGCAGGATGTTTTCAGTAGAGACAGAAGCAGCGTATAATCAGAATTCAAAAATATTTCCCGATATCTACAAAAAGAAAACCTTGACTTGTCAATGGAAATGTGTTCTTGACTTCTGAAAATGACAAAGCTGAGGATTTACTTTTCTTTATACTTCAGCTGAGCTCCACATGTTGTATTTTTACTGATGGATTATTTCAGATTTGTGGATATTTTATCTTAATCAGCGCATGTTTCCTGCTTCATTTTATCCACTTTCTCATACTGTGTCTGTTTGACATCACACTGAAATGTATTTCAGCTTCTAATGTGACTCAGGTAGATCGGAAACTTATGAACTTAATGTCTGAAACAATAATGTTGCTCCGGTGTCACTAGACGTAATTTGGTATTTTACAGAACCACTAGTAGACCTGCTGCTGCCGCCAACAGCTTTCTGTGCATCAGATTCTTTCCTTTGACTTGAACAAACACCTGCAGCTTCACAGCACAGCAGAAACCATAAATGCTTCTTTACATGAGGAGTGATTTCAACATTTACGCATGTGGTTCAACAACGACATGAAGTGAAATGAGGAGCAAACCTGAAATAACAAGAATTAAATTTCACAATGCTTATTGGACAGATACAATGATTAAATGGATGCCACCGTTCCCATTAATCCCATTATTACTCCATTATATGCATGTGACCAGTTGACACGTGTATGCTGTAGTTTTTATTTCTAAGTATTCTTTTTTCATTTTTTAAAAGAAAATCTTATAAAAAATAGTTAACAAAAAAAGTGGATTTTTTTTAGTTTTTATTTTTTAAAATCATCTTGAAGGACATTTTTTCAATGCTTGTTTAATTTACAAAGTTATTGATTGACTACGATCATTGCGTTCCCATTTACCACATTCGTACTTCATAAAAAAACGTTGGAGGACATTAAGAAACTCAAGACTAAACGAGAACTTTGTTGTCCCAAGAAGGACAACATCCTTTGACCAGGCAGCCTTCATGACAGAAGCACTATTTGGAGAAAATCTTTCCCATAAAGGTCTCTTATTGTGTCCCTTTTCAACAAAATGATGAAAGTCTACACGTAACCGCAGCGTGTCTTTAAATTTTTAAACTTGAAATACCACAAAGATGGCTGACACAGATGTGAACGAGTGTGTGACACCAGGAGTTTCTTTCACTTGTAACTTTTTCTCTGGAAAAAGCTGGAATACTTTTTTTGTTCAGTCGTGTCTCGTATAAATAATTTGCACTGTAGCTGCAGGTGTTGAACTTTATGGTGTTGAAGGCACTCGAGAAGTCAAAAAACATGACCCTCACTGTGCTGCCAGTGATCTCCAAGTGGGACAGTGATCTGTGCAGGAGGTAGATCACTACGTCGTCCACCACTGTAGGGGGTCCATCAGTGTGCTCAGCAGGTGCTTCAGGATGGTCCTCTCCTTGGTCTTCATCAGGTGAGAGGTCAGGGCAACAGGCCTGAAGTGGTTCGGCTCCCTGTGGCACCGTCTTCAGCACTGGGACCACACAGGAGGTCTTCCACAGGACCGGGACCTTCTCCAAACTCAGGCTCAGGTTGAACATGTGCATGACCCATGACCACCCCACAGAGCTGGTCAGCACAGTCCTTGATCTGGGGCTGATGCCATCAGGACATGGAGCCTTTCTCTCCTTGATCTTCTTCAGTTCCCTCCTCACCTGATCAGCAGAGGGGAGGATGATGACTGAGGGAGGGGAATGGGGGTCGGGGGTGGAGAGGGTCTTAGGAGGGGTGAGAGGGTGGTGGAGGACGACTGAGGTGAGGGGGAGTTGGCCTGAGAGGGTGTGAAGAGGGAGCAGGGTGGGAGAGGCAGAGGGGGAAGGGGGCAGAATCAAATCTGAAGACGAACAGATTCAGTTCATCTGCCCAGTCCTCGTCACCGCTGGTCTCTCCCTCCTCCATTTCCAAGAGCCGATCCTCCTGTAGTTCTCCTTCCTCTTCCTGATCTTCAGCTGGAGCTCCTTCTGCACTCTCCTCTTTATCCCCCAATCAAAAAACCCTCTTCTCATTCAGAAGGGCTTTGTCTCAGGGGTGACCCAGGCTTTGTTGGAAAACACAGCACCGTGGGGGGCACAGTGTCCTCCACACAGAACTTAATCTAATCTGTAATGCGATGGGCTGTTGATATCCTCACCGTGGGGGCTGCAGAGTGCTTTCCACCTCAGACCACACCTTCACAGACTTCTTTACAGGTGGTTGTTTATTCAGCATGGGGTTGTAGTCCGGGGACAGATGGACCAGGTTGTGATCTGAGCGACCAAGCGGGGGGAGGGGGGATGATGCATTCTTCAAGTTTGCATACAGTAATCCAAAGTACTATTGTCCCTGGTGTGGTCATTTACATACTGGTTGAAGGTGGGGAGGGCAGAGGACGGTGAAGCATGATTAAAACCCCCGAGATGGGGAGGAGGGCTCGGGGGTGCTGGGTCTGTAGCTGAGCGACGACGTTGTGGATCTTCTCTGCAGCTTCAGCAGAAACCACTGATGGAGGTTTAAACACAGTTATTACAGTAACATGTGATAGCGCTGGGATGTAGTATGAGCACATGCTAACAATCACTGGCATGATGAGAAAAATTTCAGGCTTTTTATCCTTAATAGTTCCTGCTGGAATCACCCAAGACAACACACTTTAACTACTTAATATGTTGGTTTGCTCCCTCTTATGTCAACGTGTTGTTTTATTAGCGTTTTTCTGGCTTATCTGAATAAAAGGCAGCAGTTGAAAATTAGCCTTTTTGCTAACTGACACATTTACAGTTAGCAAAAAAAAAAAAAAACAAAACTGAAAACCCTACAAAATATGAAATTATACAATATGTATATTTTTTACAATAAGAATCATAATAAAACCGTGTTTCTGTGATGTTTGAAAGTTATCGCACAAGAAGAATAACAATTAAATAAAAAAAATGTAGGGTCAGCTGTTAAGTTTGTTTTGCTGCTTGGGCAAAACAGTTCAGTTTTTTTTTTTCAGTTTTAATACAACTATGAAAATGTATATGTTCTAAATTGAAGGCATGATGAAAAGTGAAAATTTCAGACTTCCTGAGATTTATTTGTTCAAAAATGTGCTGAAACTGTATACAAACAATTTATTAATAGGGAGATGATTTGAGCAGGAGTAACCGAACATGACACACTTTTAACTACTTATATTTTTTGTTCAGTAGTGTCTCATGTTAAATGTTTGCATTGTAGCTACAAGTTTTGCACTTTTCTGCCCGTTTTAGTTTGCTTCCTGTTTTGCCAACGTGTTGTTTTATTACCGTTATCGTGGCTAATCTGGACAAAGAGCAGCAAATCAGCCGTTTAGCTAACTGACACGTTTACGATTAGCAAAAAAAATAAAAATAAAATAATATTTTTTTAATAGTTAGAATTAGAATAAAAACCGCGATTCTGCGATGTCTGAAAGTTCTTGCGCAATAAAACAAATAAAGCACGTTTAATAAATAAATTAAATCAGGCAGATGAATGGGCGGCGCGTGACGTCAGAGGTCAGCTGACTGGTTTGTTTTGCTGCGCGAGCTCGTCCGGATAAAAACACAGCAGAGGAAGAAGAAGCGACGACATTTAAAAAAAAAAAAAGAAAGAACGAACGAAAGCACCACCACTGCTGCTGCTGCTCCTCCGCTCCGGCTTCTGACGACGACCAGCCACGGACTCTGTTTTATAAAACCGTTATTTTTAAAAAGCTTTTTATCGACCGATACCTCCTCCTCTACCTCCGCTCCTCGTCCACTGCCAGCCGGCTGACTTTGACGCAGTATGCCTTCAGAAAAAACCTTCAAACAAAGAAGGACGTTCGGTACGTTTACCCGCCGCTTGGTTTTTTAACATTTGATTTTTTTAGTGTGTGTTATGCTTGAGGTTTTTAGCCGTTGGCCGAATCTCTCCGTGAACTGTGGCAAAGTGACAAACGGCGTTAATGTGAGCGGGTCAGGTAGCAGTTAGTCGTTATCCCAGTGGGGAGCATTAGCCTTCATTTTGTCAGCAGACTTCTGTTCACAGATTTGTTTCAGGACTTAACCCACACACACACACACACGGAGGCCCTGTGCTCGTTTAAACTTATTTAAAAGCTCCCTCTCTCTCACACACACAGAGAGATTAAGGCAGGAGACCGTGGAGGCCTGTTTTCTCTGTAGGTGTTTACTTGTATCAGAGCAGTGGCAGAAAAACAAAGTGGTGTCGAAATGCAGGGCAGAGAGAGCTGCAGGATTGGGGGATGGGACGGGCTGTGGAGGACAAGAGAGGAGTTCAGAAACACAACAAAATGCTTCCCAAAAAGGTGGACTTTTAGACTGTCTGTCTGTCTTTGTGCTCGGTGTGTAGGCCACAGCCTGCTGGTTTTCCAGCCCACATAAAGCTGAAGACGAGGCCTGCGAACACACTGCTTTGTGGTGTTTTTTCTCACAATACTGTAAACCAAATGCTGTTTAGTGCTACGAAAGTCTGCTCCAGTGCGTTTGGTTGATAAGTTTAGATGTTTTTATCAGTAATAACAGAGTTACTCACGGTGTCATTGATTATAACAACATCGCACACTTAATTTAAGCATATTTTAGGTCCAAAAAATTGTTAAGATGGTTGAAGATCTTGCAGAAAGTCATGTGTACAGAAGTCTTAATGACTGGTTTTGACAATAATGCAAACTAAAAGTGGTATAAATATGATTAAATTCAAAGATGTGGCACATTTAGGATCCTAAATGTATCGTCACAGTTTTAAAGCAGAAAGCATTCATGTTATATTCGATTATAACAACATTGTCTACTTAAATTTTGCACATTTTAAGACCAAACAATGGTGAACAAGGTTGAAGATTGTGCAGAAAGTCATGTGTACATAAGTTGTAATGACCTATTTCAACAGCAATGCAAACTAGAAGCGGTATAACATGATTAAACCGAAACATATGACACAGTTAGGATCTAAAGCTCACCATTACAGCTTTAGAACCAACAGTGTTCATGCTAAATTTGATTACAATACAATAAAGTTCACAAAATGGTTGACACGGTGGAGGATCTTGCAGAAAGTCATTTGTAATGATGCCTTAATAACTGATCCTTGACAGTAATGCAGACTAGCCAAGGTGTAATATGATTAAATCCAAAGACACAGATGTGCTGTATCTTTGGATTTTATCACATTACACCTCTGCCAATCTGTATTATTGTCAAGGACCAGTCATTACGTCATCTGTACACATCATTTTCTGCAATTTTTTAAAACCGTGTCAAACATATTATGGATTTAAAGTATGTAGAATTTAAGTGGGTTCTTAATATCATCATGGGAAACTTTGTTTTGTGTGATGAAAAGACCTGATCTTATCAACCAAATGAAGTGGAACAGAGTCTCGTAACACTAAACTGAATTGGCGCTGATTAGTTTTAAGCTTACAGTTTTAAAAAAACGAGTGTTAAACTCTTTATTTGATGCAATTCAATGAGGAGAAAGGAGTGAATTCATCAAGTGTATAAGTAAACATGAGGGCAGCTGTTATCTTGTGTCATGCATACCAGCCTGTTTGTTGTGCATTTTTTTCTAATTCTCTTCTTGTTCGATCTTGTGAACATGCGGAAAACTGCGCTGCGTGTAGGCTGTCGTTACGATGGGGGGAAAAATGAGAACATGTCGCCTGACTGCAAGCATGGAAATATATTTCCCAGTATGACTAAATGTAACTGACTTCTGGCTCGACGTCATGCTATTCCAAATTTACACAAGCAGACCACGTGAGGCGGCCTGCCAGGAGAAACATCCTGTCACGTGTGCTCAGCTGTGTTTGAGGGAAAGTCGAGCTTTTCAGACAAATTGATGTTTTGTGTTTTTAATTGGAACTCCCTCATGTGTCACCAGTTTGTCTTCACCAGCTGGGAGTCGTGTTGTTTTTATCTCGGTGTCGCTGCCCCGTGTCCACGCCATTATCTGAGTTGATGCACTTTTATCAATTTGCTACACGGCCTGTTTGACTCGACCGGCTCAGGGCGAGGAACGAAACTGCATAACGGTGTTGTTCTGTCATAAAGTGACTCAGGAAACCACAAGGAATCTTCCAGTTGTTGCCCGGCGGCTCTGACTAATTCCTGATTCATGACAGCACAGAAATATCTTCCTCTTTTTTTTTTTTATTTGATTGAAAAACCGATGACTCGAACATTGTTTTCTTCTTGTTCTGGTCATGAGAGATGGACACATTCAGAGTGCTTCATAGTCAGAAACAGGAATTAACAAGTAGTTTAACAATGACTCGTGTTTTTTCAAGTTTTTGCATTAAAGTGGCTCTCCCAGGAAAGTAAACATTTTGTCAGGGGCGCGTAATCACTTGATTTGATTAGACATTACGACAGTGAGCCAACAGTTTGTCTCCTGAGCAAACTCTGTGGCGGGTCATAAGACTGAATACCAAAGCTTCAACCGACTCTGAACACAACGCTTTCCAAATCTGTTGTTTTTCTCTCCAAGATCAAGCCAAGCGTGTTGGCGGAGTTTTGACCGTCAGACGCTGATGTTGTTGTTGTTGCTGTCGGTGCAAAGTGCAGCAGGCCTCAGGTGTTGTTGTGTGTTTTGGCCCACTTTCACCTGAGTCATGGAAAAGCGAGTGAATCAGGAGAGCTTATGTTTGGAGTCGTTAGCGTAGAGGAAGGAGAAGACGACTACAAAGACCAAGGCCCACCTGAGCACGATTTACAGTAAACACTGTGTTAGAAGTTCTAGGAACACCCTCAGAACCATTACTTCTTATTGTCTTCACTGTCTTTTTTTTTTTTTTTAGCAATTAATCAATCAATTGTGGGAAATGGTCGATCCCTAAGCCCATCCTTTGTTCACAGCTCAAAGATATTCAAATTACTGTCACAGAGGAGTAAAAGAAACCTGAAAACATTACAATTTAGGAAGCCGGACACTTCAAATGTTGACATATTTGTCTTAAAAATTTCCTAACTGATTGTCAGAAGAGTTGGGGATTTATTTATTAATCGACAACTAATCGATTAATCATGGCGGCACCAAAGGAAGCCAGATAATATTTAGATTTAAGAAGAGGGAAATTGATCATTTTATTTTTAAAATCATGAAAAATTACTCAGACTGATGAATCAAATGTCCAAATAGCTGATGATTAATTTTTTCGTTGACAACTGATTGATCAATCATCAAAGCTCTAAACCCCCCAGAAAATATTAGAAGTTAAGAAGATGGAAATTAAAAGTCTTGATGGTTAATTTATTAGTTGACAAGTAATCGAGTAATTAATTCAGCTCTTAAAGAAAACAGGAAAAAATAGAAAGAGTTATGCAGGTGGAAACTTAAACTTTAGAATTAAAAAAAAAAAGAAGAAAAAAGAATTTATCAGTCACCAAAATAGTTGACAATTAATAATTAAAGCTAGAAGAAACCATAAAAAAAATCAAATTTAAGAGGCCAGAAACTGAGAATTAAAAGCTATAAGTTCCTCACACTGATCGATTGATTGTCAGAATAGTTGGTGATTCAGTTTTATCAGTTGACGAGTAATCAATTAATCAATCCAGTAAATTTGAAATTTATGGTGGAAACCAGGAATTTTAACATTTTTATTTCTTTAAAAAAAATCACCTCCGCTGATTAATCAATTGTCAAAATAGCTGCAGATTCATTTACTTGTTGAAAGATTGATTAATTGCATTTCTAAAACAAACCAAAAATATTTAAATTTAACTGCGAATTTGACTTTTTTTTTCATAAAACACTCTCTATACTGATTAATCGACTGATAAATAAGAAAAATATTTAAATTAAGAAGCTGCAATCACAGAACTTTTCAAAAATGTTTTCCCCCCCAAACACTTTATCAAAAATAGTTTGTGATTAATTTATAAGTCGACGACTACTCCATGAATCTGTGCAGCTCTGCCTTTGATTCCATTAACAATAAATAATGCAGCTGTGTGCAGCTCAACATACATTTATTAAGGCGGTAAATCACGTTTTTATGTAATTTTCTAATCACAGTTGAACAATGCTGCTGCACCACAAGTGGATTTGAGGAAATCCCATTATGTTTCCTCTGGAGAGCCTAAACTCCACTAAGCAGTTTGTTCAACACTCAGCTCCCAGATGTGCTCGATATTAAGCTCCAGCACTAATCAGACTGTGTGTTTTTGTTTAATTAACACAATAGACCAGATTAAAAACAATAGAAACCAGTTGCAGCTTCGCCCGTCTGTGGTTCACTTTTCTTCCTTCTGCCTGTGCGTGTGATGCAGAGAACCTCCCGAACCTGTTGAACCACCGACTGCAAACACAAACACAAGATAACCGAATACATTAAAAAGAGGAGGAGGGGGTTTAACGACTGCATGCAAATGACTACCGTCTCGTATCTTTTGAGTTCTATCAGCTGATTCTGTTTTTGTGCCCCACAGAGCAGCGAGTAGAAGATGTGCGACTGATCCGAGAGCAGCACCCCAACAAGATACCGGTGAGTACCAGTTTAAAAGGCTCGAGCAGCAGCGTGATGTGCAGAGCAGGAAGACCAGGCGAGCTTCCTGCAACGCAAACCGCATGTTTCCTGGTTGTGCTCTGAGATGCTGTGTTCAAACCTCATTTACACAACTCTGCTCACGGGCGGAGGTTTTTTGTGTTTTGCTGGTTGTTTTTGTCATGAAGGGTGTGACTGCATTTGTTAATGAGTTAGCAGCTCCTTAGCAACCCCCAGCTAAACAAACGCTCACCTTCTGGTTATCAGTTGGAGATAGAGTATCACCTCAGCTCTCCATCTGCTGCCCTGCTTTCGTCTTAAAAGAAAAAAAAACAAAAAACAAGCAGCCCGGCGTTTGTTTCCTCTCTGCCCTCCTGGGGTTATAAAGTGCCGTGTCATGGTAAGTTGTTGAGAGCAGAGGCAGATGCGCTGTGTCACTGTAACGTAACTCCATCCAGACGGCCACAGCGGAGCCTGGAGGGGGTTGGGGCAGCAGAGGGCTCCGTCACGGGCGGATTAAAGCTCCCAGACCAGATCGGCTTCAGCCAACACTGTACCTGCTGTAAGGCGAAACACAGTGAGGTTTATAAAGACTAAACCGTCAGTTTCACATCAGGAGGTTCAGCTCAAAAGGAGGAAGATTAAAAGTCTTGTTATGGTGAATTGTGAGAGTAAATACACAATTAAAGATGCAAAGCAAATGAACAACTGATATGACACATTAACTAACAGTAGAGCACAGCAATAAATCAATATAACACAGTCAGTACGTTGCTCATAAGGAATCTTTGGATTTAATATTATTTATACCTTAATATTTAAGGTTGTCTGGTAAATTATTACAGTAAATACTATTGTAATGCTGAAAAATAGTGTATGGACTTAACTGTAGTCAGATAAAATAGTTTATTACAACACTGTGGACTCTTAGCCTTTAATATTTCAATTAATATGTTGAATTTACCTCATAAAAAATGTAGGGAGGCAGCTTTAATATTTAAATTGCTAGGGTTAATTTTGATAATAATACATACTGTAGATCCTAACCTTAACTTTTAAATTAGTTAGGTCAATATTGTGCTCCAGAGTGTAACCTTAATATTCAGGTTAGTTGAGTGCATTCACATAATAAATAATACTGTGGGGTTAGTTAATTAGTTATTTAACATCCATCTTTTTGTATAAATAACAGTCGCTGCAGCTGACAATTATAGTAACTGTTGGTAAATAACCTGCTTAGAATACTTTTTATTCTGAAGCACTTGGTCACAGAAACGAAACAAAAGCTGTTTTCATAACTGAGCGGGTTTAGCGAGGCGCACCACAAAAACAAAAGTACTTGTTCACAGCTAGATCAAAGTAGGTTCTCAAAATATTATCTCCATATAAATCAAAGACCTAACGAGAAACAGTGAAACAGAATTCAGACTTCTATCATCTGAGATGTTGTTCAAACAGCCTCTCATTTCAGTTTGCGAAATAAAGTGACAGAAAGTGGGTCAACGGGCAAATTTTAACCAAAAATATCTCTGAAAGTATCTAAAATATTAAGATAAACTTCTACAAATGTGGTTTTAAAAATCCATGTTTATGTTACAACATTTTTTTTAGGCAAATCAAAGATGACTGAGAAGAAACTGTCCTAAAAATGTGATGATTTGAGAACTATTAAATTGCCGGTTTGGTCTTTGGAGCATCAGAAAGCGAAGCCGTCCATTTTAACTAAACGTGACATTTACAGCATAACTCGTTTCGGCCGGTCCTCAGAAATTAGAAGCTGTCTTTTGTTGTCAGCATAAACGCTCAGCATTAGCAGGAACACAGCGGTGAAGACTCTCAGTGAGGATGCTGCGGTGAAGACGAGTGCAGGAGTGTTGAGGATGCTGTGTGGCAGAAAGCCTTAGTGGATTAGTGTTACATGCAAGAGACCCCATTAGTACCGAGTTATGGTCTCCTAAAGTGGTCTGTCGTTGGGAAAAGCCAGTCTGAGAGAGACAAGACGTGATTAGAGGTTGGCGACACAGATGATTAGCGTTAAAGAGACCTGTAACATTTGCAGTAAAATTTAAAATCTTTGGAATAACACAAAACTCAGACAGACATCAGAGCCAAAATACTCAAAATATTAAATCAAGAATTGGTTGAAAAAAGCACCATCGACAATCAGAAAAAGGCTGAATATCAGATCTGATAATGAGCCGCCCCTATAGGTGATACTACAAACAGGAATAGTGGTGCATGTTTTCAGAAAACTCTTCCTCTCGTGTTGTGAAAGGGAAATATAATTGAGTAACAAACGCAAACAGAGCTTATCACGGGTCAGTCTGTCCTCTGTCACCTTTGTACAGCAGATCAGATATGATGTAAAACTGGGTGCAAATGTCAGATTGTCAGAATCAGGAAGTTACAGACGAGAAAATCTACATCACTATTCACTTCTACACTGAAAACAACTCATTTTAAAACACAGTAGTGCACAAAATCTATGCATCTTATGATCTGACAGAAAAGAAATCTGACTCAACGGAAAGAAATCTGACGTTAGCTTGTTTTTGTTTTAACGACGGCTAAATCTAATCTGTTTTATTGTCTTAAATGTTGCAGACTGTGTCCCCAAAACCTCTTTATATTGTGTTTAGTGTCATTAAAAAACAAACTATAGGGTTGTTTATGTTCCTGTTACCTACAGAAATCAGAACCTACATTTCTGACTGATTGAGTAACGTTAGCAGACTCAGCGTAACAGACTGAAGATGTTGTGGATGTGCTTGTAGAACTGATTAGTCGTCTCTCTTTGGAGTAAAAGCTTTTCTGTTGTGTCCACATTGCTTCTCTTTCTCTGCCTCGTCTGCACTTGTGACTGTTTCGCCGCCACTGGCCTGATTTTCAGTGTTTTTATTGTCCCTCGTGGGAGAGTTTCCTCAGTTTAAAGCTGCTAACACGAGAGCATAAAGTTAATACTGACTGTGGTTGTTTGTAAAGGAAACTTTGGTTTGTTGTTGAAGTTAGAGGCAGCTTGAGAGCATTAAAAAGAGGCCGACGTGCCATCATAACCAGCAGTAAAATCGTGTTGTTCGGAAAGCCGGTCGATCGATTTTTATTCTGTTAATTTCCAAACCTCGTTACGTTCGGTAGAAGCCGACACCTTGATGCTATCACACCTTCTGGAAACCAGTCCAGACGGCTCACACAGCAAATCCTGCTGATGTGCCTCTGCAGTGCTGCTTTAAAGGCGTGTTTGGGGGGGAAAACATCTTAACCTAATTAAATGTCTTAGTAAATAAAAGATTAAGTGTTCATAGCTCCAGCAAGTCACTCTGGGTCCAATGAATGTGGACTTTCAGGACCAGCGTTGAGGATTTACAGGCAGTGACTTTGCAGATTGCAACCAACTGAAAACTGCTCTTTTTCCAAGTGTTTAGGAGAAACTATGGCTCACGTCAACTTTGCTGTATTCAGAGATGGTGTTACACATAATAAGCTACAGAATAATTTGTAGTTACAGGTGATTATACACGACAGAAAGCACAATTATGAGCATTATTTTTGCTAATAAATCCCCTTGAATCCAGCACACTGGTCCTTTAAGATTTTACAAGGACAAGTCTGTAAAGTAGAAGACCGTGTTCTATTTTTTTAACCGCTCTGTCTGATATGTTATTACATCTCACTATTGATCCTCCAGTTTCAGCTGTCAGGGGAACATCACGTCATCAGCATTCATGGAACTCGATCGGCTGGAATTAAAAAAAAAAGAAAAGAAAAGAGGAGGAAATTGGTTATTGATGATGCGTTTGTGTTCTCCTGCAGGTGATCATTGAGAGATATAAAGGAGAAAAGCAGCTGCCCATCCTGGACAAGACCAAGTTCCTGGTTCCAGACCACGTCAACATGAGCGAACTGATCAAGATTATCAGGTAAAGGTCGACTCGTCCTACTTTGTCTTCAACAGGCCTCCAGACTGTTTACATTGTCTGCACTGGTGCTCTTTTTTCACGTTTAGGTGCATCAGTACACACGGTTTCATGCAGTAACTGGGACATACTGTCCACTAGCACTCATGTATATTATTTATTTTGATATTTCTTAAATGTTTGCACTATGCCTCTTGGTGCTGTAACAGTTCATACTTTCCCACTGTGGGATTAACAAAGACTTATTGTATCGTCATAATATCGCACTTTAAACTTTGACTTTTGCAATTTTTAGTGCGAGTTTGTTTGTTTAAACTCGTGCACAACGTATGTAACGTACCTGCACAGAGGATTGTGGGTCAGACTAGCCAGAAAAGCAAGCAGCTTTTTTTTGGCATGCTGCATTTGACATGCCAGATCTTTTTCTGGCGTACTACACAGTGTGAAAGTACGGATGTTGAAGTGTAGCCCAAATTTAGGTGCACCCACAAATTCTACATCAGTTCTTTAGATTTCTTTAAACTTGTGTTATATAGTTGTGTGTATGGTTGCCTGACTGCAAATAGTGTTAATTCAGCCCACAAATCTGCACACTGTCCTTTAAAAGTCGAGTTGTCGCTAAGGAGTCGGTCCTGTCCGACCTGCTGTAGTTGTCCTCATCGTGTCCCATCATTCAGCTGCCTCTAAAGAGAGTCTCTCAACCCCATTTGGACTCAAACTCCACCGACTCGGACTGCAGCTGGTGATAGCAGTGAGCTGTCCTCTCGCTGGTGGACTTTATGGCGTCCCTGTTCTGCTCTCGGAGAGTTGAGTGTAGCAGCACATAAACCAGCTGCAGCCCCAGACGATGGAGCTGGAGTCCGTCTGCAGGATGAAATGCTCTCTAGAGGCAGCTGAGTGAGCTTCAAGATAAAACCTATAGCACCTTGAATCACGCGCTCGGTATTCTGAGAAGCAGATCATATTACAAGTGAAGATAATCCGCCCTCAATAACGATGTTCCTGAACGCCTCGTATGCGTTTGTGGACACACAGAGAAGCCTCTAGTTCACATTCAGTTATTGCTGATTGAAATGAGGCGTTCTAATGTCAGATTGACTCGAGTTAAAAGTGATTTTTAATCTACCAGGGCAGTGTCAGACATCCTCCATCTTCTTTTCATTTCCTTCCCTCTCCCTTCTTTTCTTAGCTTTTATCTCCCTTACTTTCTCTTTCATTTACTCCTCATTCGTTCCTCTGCTTTCCTTTATTTATCTTCCTTTCCTACCCTCTTTATTCCTTTCCATTTATTTCTTGAATTTTCTGCTGGCCTCTTCCTATTCCTTTCCACTCTTCTCCTCTTGCTACTTCATCCTCTTTTCCTTTCACCTCATTAGCTTTTCTTTCCAACCATTCTCTCTTTGCCTTTCCTTTTAAGTGTTGCGCTCTCGTCTTCTCCATCTTTTTTTTCCTCTCTCCTATTTCCTCGTCTTTTGCCCTCCTCTTGCTTTCTTTTAATTTCCTTTCCCATCATTTATTTCCTTTTTGCTTCTCACATCCTTTTTATTTCGTCCTCCCCTCTTTCCTTTTATCTCTGTCGTCTTGTTTTTACTGAGTCTAGCCTTCCTCTTATTTAAGTGCTTCAGTAAAAAGCAAACAAACTTGCTTTTGGCTCTTGAAGATGCTTCCTCAATTCTGACTGTTAGGAAGTATTTGTTTTACCCACGAATCACATGACTGAAGGCTCATCAACAACCAGAAACTCGCATAATTTAAGGTGTGAATGGTGGTGAAACTACCGGGGAGGGGCATCAGGGCAACATGAGTACCAGATAAGTGGTTTCATAGAACTCCTCCTCTGTT